TGTTTGATTTTATTCTTAGCGAGACCCATCTTTTAAGTCTATCGTCGTTCGTAGTTTAAAAATATGCGTACAGATAATATCACCCAAAGAATCTTTTTTAACAAAAAGAATGAATATCGGCAGCGAGGGATGGAAAATAAAGTTAGGACTGCAAATATTTGCCCTGGGTCTTTGACAATGGTCATAGTTGAATGCTATGGGAAAGAAATGTTTTCTCACTAAGTACTTTCATTGATTAAAAGACGATTGTCAAATTTAGTGATGTAATGGTACAAACAGGAATGTTCATGAATAACACATCCTTTTAGGCAGTTCCTATCCAATTTTCGGTTTAATTAACCTTCAAATTTAATGAGGTAATGGTACAAACAGGAATGTTCATAGATAACATATCCTTTGAGGCAGTTTCTACCCAATTTTCGGTTTAATTAACCTTCCATCCTTTGTCGAACTTAATTCATCCGCCGATCTCTCTGAAGCGAAGTAATTTCATGAAGAGTTTTTGCAATGAGATCTTTCGGAGATGTTATGACTGCCCCATGTGAACTTTGGGTAAAAATATATCCCATATGACATTTTTTTTTGCGAAAGTCCTCCGAGGCGCCCGATGAAATGTTTATGGAAAAGGGGATGCATAATCTCATGAAGAACCGGATGTTTGGTTCCTAAAGGTCACCGGCGGAGCCCAAAAGGAGGCCAAAAAAATTCCTTCCCATATTTCATACTTCGAGTTGCTTTAGTTTCTCTGTCTCACGGGAACAACATTATCCTTAGATATACATACATAACAAGAGTTAATATCCAGGGCAAGTCTCTGACTTCTGAATTTTGAAACTTTTCTGGTTTTGAAAAGATTTTACGTTCTGAATGGGAGGTGTATGTTGGTTTCTCGATCAGATTCTACAACAGTAATGGTCAGCGTGAAGTTTTATATGCATCAAGGCGAGATAAGGGCCAGGTCTACCTGATAAATTATTATATCTTGAGTGACAACAATTGAAAGTAAATACGATATTTACAGACTTTCTGTTTAGGGTACTAACCTTTCTTCAGGACTGCTAATGTTTAATCGTTATCTATAATGTCCAACTTTCTCAAGAGTCCCGATCCGCTGACAGTTAGACTGAAATATTCTGAAAAGCGGAGACAAGTGTGGCCAAGAATACACTCTGATTTCCTCCCAGCGGTTTCTTGGAACTGAGGTTGTTAATATCTTAGTCGTAACAGCTTGGAGTCAGTAGTCTATCTGTTATTGATTGGCTATGGACCGTTGTACTTAAAATAAGTATTTTACCGAATATTTGAAATTCTCTGTGTCCCCCCCC